GATAAATTGGTGGAAAAGTGGATGATTTTTGGAGGAAAGTAAAATCATCATTATTAATGCTATAAAAAAGGATTAATGCTAATGACTCATCATTAATGCATTAAATGTTTTTGCCAAAACCAATAATTAGCAACTAAGGTGTTGTTTGTTTTAGATTAAATTTTTTATTTTTCATTTTTTTTCCTTAAAAAATAAACACAATTTGTTTGTTTAAACTTGTTTAATTTTTTCCTTTACTTTTTAAAAAACTATTTTTTAAAACAAAAAACAAATTTTATGAAACCACAAATAATGGTTTCTGTAATTATGTTTTCTTTTTTTATTCTGCATTCCTCTTTTTTTTTTCAATTTTTATAAGACTTGTCCTCATAAAGCTGTATTATTATTATTATTATTATTATTATTATTATTATTATTATTATTATCTCTATCCATATAAATCTAATGATATTTATTTATCCAAAATATATAAGCATTAATTTTCTTCCCCCCCAAAATATATAAATGCCATTTAATTTTATTAATCTCTATTAAAATCTACGCTTTTTTTTCCATCTCTTTCTATTTTTATATTTATTATTATTTCTCATGTCCATATAAAATTCTAATGTCATTCAGATAATTATTTTATTATTATAATACTTGGATATTATATTTTTATTCAATTATTGTTACATATAATCAATTAGTTAATTTACTTTATTTAAAAATTAAATGTGTGAAATATTTTTATTATTTGTTCTTTAGATTTTATATTTTTTAGATTTTTATTATTAAACTAAAATTTTATTATTAACTAAAATCTTTAATGGTTAATAAGGGAGAGATTTGATAATCAGAAGAATGTTTTTCATCATGAACTAAAAGAAATGAAAAAATAATTTTAGGAAAAAACAATACTTTTGAAAAATAAGTAATCAAAAACTGAAAACAATTTTATGTTTCTAATAAATAAAAAACTAAAAACAAATAACTGTAACAAACAGGCCCTAAGTTGTCTACTAAACCAATTCAACATAAACCAATTCTTAAAGATGGAGAATATTGCAGTAAAAAAGATTATGGAGAATTTTCTCTGTATATTAAAAAAGACACATAGAGGATCCTAGGACCAATCTCTATAACCAAGTCAAGAGATTTGCACTTATGCCGTCCAAATCCAAGCCATGTCATTGTATTGAGACGATAGATCAATTCTTGAATATGGATAATATTGTAGTAGAAAAGATTATGAACAATTTTCTCCGTATAAAAAAAACAAATAGAGGAATCAATTCTAGGACCAATCTCTCTATAAACAAGTCGAGAGACTTGTGCTTATGCGATCTAAGCTAAGAGCCATCATCCATTTATTTAGACCCAAACAATTACTATATAACATTCGATGTGGGTATTGATGAATCCTAATTGGAATAACACAATTGTATTATTTGTCATACAAAATTAAGATATATAAAAATATATTATGAAAGGAACATGACATCATTATTTTTATCTAAATCATTCAAACTATATGAGTAGTAGACTGTGCTATTAAATCATTGGTGCATTTAACAAAATTTAAAAAAATCTACCACAATCTTCCGTTATATAAGTTTGTTGAGCGTACTATATATAAGCTTTGTTGAGCTAACTATATATATATATATATAGTATATATATATATATATATAAATTATCGTGGAGCAATTGAATTAGCATTTTCAATTTCTATATCATACTATCTACATTGCTACTGTAACTGGCTTTAAAACGACTTATACTTTCAATTTTTCAATTAGCTTATCGAATTAGGTGGTTAATACAAGTTAATCCGTCGTTTGAATCCTCCATGCGGCAGACCAAACATATACTTGTTTTATAAGCTCACATTATCTATTTTACTCAAAAAACCAATAAAATTTTATAATGCTAATAATAGAGTAATTTTTAGTTGGATAAATATGCATTCACATCATTTGATCTCTATTTAAATTAACAATTTCATTAACAATTTCATCAAATTTAAAAAAAAAAAAGAATGATCTCTATTTAAATTAACAATTTCATCAAATTAAAAAAAAAAAAATGACACGCAGAGGAATAGATCCTAAAACCAATCTCTATTATTTGGTTAAGTGATATGCATATGTGCCATCCACACTAAGAGCCTTCATCCATTTATTTTGATGCAAACAACTAATATATAACATTTGCTGTGAGTATTAATGAACCCTAATTGGAACAATACTGGTATTATTTGTCATACAAAATTAAAATATATAAAAATATATTATGAAAGGAACAAGACACCATTATTTGAATCTAAATCATTCAAACTATATGAGTAGTAGATTATGCTATTAAATCATTTGTCCATTTAATAAAATTTAAAAAAAACTACTGCAATCTTCCATTATATAAGTTTGGAGAGCCTACTATATATATATATATATATATATATATATATATATATATATAAATTATCGTGGAGCAATTGGATTAGCCTTTTCAATTTCTATGTCACACTATCTACATTGCTATTGTAATTGGTTTTAAAATGACTTATAAGTATTATACTTTCAATCTTTTCAATTAACTGATCGAATTGGGTGGTTAATTCAAGTTAATCCATTGTTTGAATCCTCCATGCAGCAGATTGAGCATATACTTATTTTGTAAGCTCACATTATCTATTTTACTTAAAAATCAATAAAATTTTATAATGCTAATAATAGACTAATTTTTAGTTGGATAAATATGCATTCACGTCATTTGATCTCTGCTTAAATTAACAATTTCATCAAATTTTAAAAAAATGACATGAGGAGGAATCCCTAAAGCCTTTTCAATTTAATTCATCAATTTCGTCATTTGATCTCTATTTAAATTAACAATTTCGTCAATTTCATCAATCCCTAAAGCCAAATCAAGTGACCTACACATGTACCATCTAAGCTAAGAGATCTCATATTTTCATTTTAACCCAAATCGTTAACATATAACATTTGCGGTGGGTATTGATGAACCCTAATTGGAATAATACATTTATATTGTTTGTCATACAAAATTAAAATATATAAAAATATATTATGAAAGGAACATGATATGATACCATATATATATATATATATATATATATATATTATATATATATATATTTAAATCAAAAAAAATGAAAGAGACAATTAATTCATAGTATATATATTAAATAAAAAAAATGAAAGAGAAACAATTAATTATAGTATAACAAAAGCCTAACATGTGCATGGGGAAAAGTAACCAACTTGCTATTTTGTCTAGGGTTATTTAATGAAGAGAGATACAAATTTCAAATTTAAAGTTCAAATTCGTCTAAAATCTATCAATTTTCAGTGTGTATATAAATGGTATTTTACATGGCTATACGAGGATAAACTATACATTTTATACTCAATGATCAAGAATCAAATTGAGCAAACAACCATTACCCCAAATAAAATACCTTCAAATGACAAAACAAAAGGCACTATTTGACAGGATTTGCATAAAGCTCAAATAAACATCATCAACCAGTGTGCCAACACAAAATTAAGTTGGGCAATTTGTAGGCAATCCCCATTGACCGACCCAATTGTTTGCTCCTGTCATGATGTTGTCCAGAAAAAGAAACAAAAAGAAATGAAAAAAGCCACTTGTCAGCTAGTCACAAAATTATGTTTTTAAAATCAGGTTTTTTTGCTCGTATTAGTAAGCTCTACAAGTGTTCTTGATGGCCTCCACTATACTCAAGTTCTCTGTTTATTTTGTCTTCATCCTTTTTATAATTTCAATCTAAGTGAATTCATCGTCCCGTTTGAAATAAATGAATTTCATAAAATTTTATAGAATTTATTTATAAATTTAAAATTTTGTGCATGGGATAAAAAAAAAATACAGATTTAAGTTTTACAAATTAAATTCTATGAAATTGCACATATCTAATACAAATTCTATTAAAATTAATGGAATATCTAAATGAATTTCACAAAATTAAACCATCACATTTATTTTGATCAAAATGGCCCAATCCCTAATATATTGACCAAACTTCCCTCAGTCCCTAATATCTTTGATTAAGCTGCCCTAAATTTCTAATATCCGAAAACGGGTAGCCCATTATAGCAAAACATTTTCCTGTGTGATGTAAAATTTTCTTTTTTGGTAATATACAACTAAGACTTGTTAGAAATAGAATGATATAAGAAAGCAATGGGAATAGTTCATTTCTTGCTGCAGCCTTGCATAAATTTGGCACAAATGATTATATTTGATAAGTAGATTATATATGTGTGTGTATTTGTAATATTAATTAATTAGGGAGGAATGTGTTTATTTATATTAATTTTATTATTTATATTTTAATAAAAGAAAAGTTGTTATAATTAGTGTTTCTTATTTGCTTTTATTAAGTTATTATGTCAAGAGTATTTTAAAAAATAAAGAGAAATGAATTCTTATTTAATAGTTTGTTGCAAATATAATTTTGTAAAATTTAATTAAATTCCTTATTTTAAATTATGAGGTACCAAATATGAGAAATTCATCTCTAATGAATTTTAATTAAAAATCTTTTTTAAATGAATCATACAACCATAATTCATTTGTTCCACAATGTGTAAATTACTCGATTTATTTTCTTCCTAAAAGATTAAATATACATTATTTAGTCCTCCTGTCCTGCACAAGTTTAGGAAGCCAAATCGGCTTTTTTTTTTTTTTAATCTTTTTATTGGCAGACAAAACCTATTTTGCTTTTTGAATGATACAATTTTGTTAATTGATGACTCATACTCTAATTAAAGTCAGTTAAATCTTTTAGCTTCCATTTCTGGACGAACCAAAAATATAAAAGTAATAAAATTATTAATTACTTTATCAAAATTTTAAAATTAAAAAATAACCCCCTTCCATCTTCTTTCTCCACCATCAATGGCAGAGCGAACTGAGTCAAAGATAATCCACTTAAAATAAGAATGAAACTAAGAAATTACCCATCTGGGCAACATAGTAGTTGCCTAGTTGGTCCTCCGCAAATTACAACTTTATTTAAATAAAATCAATTCCCAAAGTACATAATGTAATTATTCTCCAAAAACATGTAATTTAATCTAGGTACAGTTATTTATTTAATTTTATTTGGGTAGAACTAGAAAATTCCATTGATAGTATATCCTCCATCTGCAACTATAAGCTGGCCAGTAATATATGAAGAAGCAGGAAAACAAAGGAATGCCACCACTGATGATATCTCATCAACGTTTCCTTCTCGAGAGAGGGGAATACGACGAGTAAACTCCTTCACATAGTCAGTCATTCCCATACTTTCCTGTAAAAGAAGACAATGTTAATTGCTTCAGTATTTATACATCTATTATAATTTGTGATTTGATTAATCAAAATTGAGAAAAATTTGATATTTTTCATTTGTATATATAAAATTGAGAAAAATTGATATTTTTCATTTGATATATATATATATATATATATATATATATATATATATATATCTGTGATTGAAATACCTCTGCGGGAATTTACGGAGAGGGGTAAGAATTAATCCTGGTATATATATCTGTGATTGAAATACCTCTGCGGAATTTACGAGAGGGGTAAGAATTAATCCTGGTAAAATTGCATTAACTCGAATACTGTCCTTTGCCCACTCACACGCTAAATTTTTTGTAATTTGCTGCAGTGCTCCTGAAAATCATCCATCTTCCCAATTAATCAAATAAGCAATTCAAAAGCAAATATATAACTCCATATGATAAACTTACTGTATTATTTTTCCCTTTTCCTGTTATGGGTAACATAGCAAAATTTACAAGGCTAATAGCTGATTATTATTAGTACTGGAGCCTGAATCATACCTTTGGATGCTGCATAGAGAGCAGAAACTGGGATAGCAACAATGCTTGTAATGGAAGAGATATTCACAATATTTCCATATTCTGATGCCTTTAAGAGAGGATGCGAAAGCTGACTTAGATGATATGCAGACTCAAAATTTGTACTCATAACAGTCGAAATGTCTTCAGCAGTATCCTTTAAGGCTTCTTTAAGTGTATTAAATGCAGCATTGTTAACCTAATTAAGCATATGTAAGACTGTGACTTCCAATTTCAATAGCTGCATAAGAGAGAAAAGTAAGAAAGAAAAAAGAAAACTTACAAGAATGTTAAGCTTTCCATCAAAAATGGAGGAAACTGTCTCTATAAGCTTTTCCCTTTGGGTTCGATTTGATACGTCGCATAGGGACCCAGTTACGTTGAAACCTTTGCTTTGCCATTCTTGTAAACACTGATTGAGCTCTTTTTGGTTGCGAGAACATGTGTGCACAGCTGCCCCAAATTCAGCTAATTCTTCTACTATGGCATGTCTGAAGTACTCCAAAGGAAAATAATATAAGCATTAAATAAAAGAATAGAGGAAAATGAAAGAAAAAGAAAATTAGATACCCTATGCCTTTGGTTCCTCCGGTGACAAGAGCTGTCATTCCCTTGAGAGACCATCTTTTCTCTCTGTAATGGAGATCTGCTTTCCCCATGGTCTTTGGTTTTTCTTTTTCTTCTTTTAATTTTTGGATGGAATCTTGATGGGACTGTGAAGTGTCTGTGCTTATACATATAGATAATCAGGTAGGTGCTTGCAGAGTCGAACTATTTTGACTGTCAAGTGTAAATTATTTTATTATTTAGATTTGGAGTGCAGATTGGGTGTCTTTTGTAGACTTTCTAAGTCCATGATTAAAAGAAAAATGAAACAACAATAAAATGGCTGATTCACATGGACATGTGAAAAATGGAATCAATTCTTGGACATGTTTGGAATGGAATTCTCTATATAAAAATGGAAATCAATTTTCAATTTGGATTTTATAATCAAGCATATCATCAATGATTGATTCAGTTTGCTTAATCCACGGGGACCCACGTAAAAGATCAGCTTTGATGAATATTTTATTGCATTTGATGAATGTTTATGTGTAAAATGTCTAACTAGAAATTTAAATAAGACATTGTTATTATTTAAGAAAATAAATAGTGTGTTTATTTATTCCAAGGGAGTGTTAAATTTTTAAAAATGGAAAAGTTGTTTTGCCTTCATAAAAAAAAAAAAAAAGAAAAAGATTAACTATATTTGTGGTATTTTAACTTTATTTTATTTTATTTTGGCCTCTGAATGAAAACAATTTATAATTGAGTGTCTTAATTATTAAAAAAAAGTCACAATTAAATCATTTTGCTGTATAGTTTTATTGTAAAATTAAATTGGATAAATTTTATTAAATAGATGATATTAAGCCTAAACGCAATCCATCTCTATTTTCACTTTTTTCTTTGTTTTTTATCGTATTACTTTTATATTTTCAATAAAAAAATCTCGAAATTTTCTTTTAATTTTCTTTCGACTATAACACAACACAAAAAAAGAGAAAAAAAATAACACAACACAAAAAAAATACTAATGGAGTAGTGTAAACTTTTTTTTTTGGTAATTATTGCAAGCTCAATTGTACCTTAAAATCTAGATCTAAAGTTTAGAGCCTCCATAGATTATAAAAAGGTCTCAAAATATTTGCATTGGCTCTATGGAATAGAGAATATGACCGGATTTAAAAGAATATATATATATATATATATCTGAGTCACATGGACATGTTTGTTTGCTTCTATACAGGAAAAATGGAAATCATTTTTCAATTTTGGTTTTTATCATGATTGACTTTTTAGGTTCATCCACGTAGAAGATCATTGCTGGTTTACTAAAGCTTATGATTTGTTGGGTCATGGGTTCTCCTTCTTCCTTACATTACACTGAGTATCAAAGTTTTTGGATTTCCTTAGGTTTGGGTATTGTTTTCTCTTTCTTTTGATTTTTTTTTTTATTCCTTTTTGGGTTTAATTTGATTTGGTGATTATTTTAGGAGTATTGTAATGATGTCAGATTTTGAAACTTTAATTCAAAAACTGTCACTTTAATCTAAACAACTAAAATAATATTAATTTTATTAGACATTTACTTATTTGTCTTTTACCTAATGAGGTTTTGATTTTCTGTTTGAATGTTTTTTAGCCTACTGTTTTGTCGTTTTGTTATTGATGTTTCTTCCTTCGTTGGTTTAATGGTAGGTCATCGCTTCTTTTTTTTTTTTTTTTCCCTTTTAGGTCATCGCTTCTTTTTTTTTTTTTTTTTTTTTTTTTTTTCCCTTTCTTTTTCTTCTATTTCTTGTGTCAATGGCAGGTGATCACTTATCTTTTCTTTTTGTTGCTTATTCTTCTTTCGTTTTTTGTTTCTATTCATTATTTTTTTTTCCCTCTATTTGCCGGATTTGCACCGTTTTTGCCCTTTCTATTTTTTTATAATTTCTTTCGTTTCTCTTATACGATTTCATTTTTATATAAGCGTATCAGCCTTTAATGCTAGTTGAAAAACTGTCATCACCATGGATGACAGTTATGCTTTAAAGAGACAAGATATAACTCTCGATTCTATTTAGATTAATACTGATACAATATAATAATATATATATATATATATATATATATATTATATATATATAAATACTTAAATCAAACTAAAATAGATCTATATTTAAATTCACAATCTACCTATTTTAGGGAAAAGGTGTTAGGAAGTTACATATAACAACAACATGGTATCCAAATCCATATGAATAAATTAACCTATGGGCACATTAATAAGTATAATTTCAAAAGAAGCATTACAGATATTAGTCAAGATTTTCAAAACTTCAAAAGACTTTAAAATTATGAGTTAAAAAAGACTAAAACAAGAATTTCAAGAATTAGGAAGTTTTTGTAAACAATTTGACTATAATATAACCCCTACTCAACAATGTAGTGGTCAATGCTCTAAACCCACAAGCTATAAAAAACATTATAAAAAACACTATAGGTCTAAACCTAGTAAAGAAGAATTTTATCACCAAGATAAACGTAGACACCATAAAAAACCTAAGAGTAAAAAACCATACAAAAAGACTAATAAGATTTCATATAAAGACTTAACTTGTTTTAAATGTGGAAAGAAAGGACATACCTCTAAATTTTGCAAGTTCAATAAAAAATTGCATGAATTAAACTTAGAAGATGATGTTATAAATAAAATTCATGAATTGTATCTTACTTCTGATACAATTGTATCTACTTTCTGATACATCAGATTCTGGGTACAAAGAAAGTGAAAAAATCAAGTTGATGAACTAGGTTTCAAACAACAGTTTCTTCCAGAAAAATCTATAAAATATGTTTAACTATAGATCAAAGTTACCAACTCTTAGAAGTAGTAAATACTCTCACAGATAATGATCTTTAAAGTTTTCACTTCTTTAAAATTAATAAAAGTTTTTGAAGAAGATCAACATAAGTAAAAAATAATCACCACCTAAACATCAGGGGGAACAATACTTATGATTTTAACTACTATATTAAAAAAAAGAATAAAAACTCGAAAAACCAAAAAATCATTAGGAAGATCTATATAAAGAAGTTTAGAATTTAAAACATGAAGTTAAAGAATTTAAAACATCAAGGCACGGGAGTACATTGATGCCAAAATAAAACATTTTTAGAAACTCAGTTGGTGATATTCTAGTTCCTCTTTCGGATGGAAAACAGGATGAAAAATAACAAATGGGAATAAATGCAGATTGAAATGAAGATGAAGAATAAATATCCACATTTTCTCTTCTTTTACAAAGAAATAACCATCTAGGGGAAAAATATTTAGTAAAATTTAAAATTTTACAAATTTCCCACAATGATTTTATATATAAATGGTAATAGCTTTTATTTTGATCCGGGACAGATTTATTTGTATAAAAATCTTGATTTAATTTCCACATTAGGTTTGTCAGAAAACACATGAAAAAACTAAAACCACAGCTTTAATAATAAATCTAAATTAGAAAATTCTGGTAAAACTGAAGCAGATTATTTAAATAAATGGATTAAGAAATTAAAACCATTATTCTTACTTTCACCCACAGATTTAAAATTATATGGTAATTTTTAGGACACCAATTCATTTTAACTAAATACACCATAATTTCTAAAAAGAAGATTTGCATTTTAAATTCAAGGTTAAAAGGGAAGTAGAGCTTAGGTTTAGAATTTACTGGAAAAAAACCTAGAAGAAAAACTTAAATTTATTATAAAGGGCTCATTCTATTAAACTTTTGGAAATTAATTCTTTAATCAAAATCTAAAGAAGAGACTTAAATAATTTTTAAGAAATGTATACATAATCTTCAAAGGAATTAAAAAACAACTAGAAGAAAAGATATTCAAATTAGAATTGCCGTAAATTAAAAGATTTATGGAAATAATTTATGTGCAGATCACCCAAATGCATTTTGGAGATCGTAACAACAACATAGTTGATTTTTAACCCTATTGAAAAAGACTTTGATGAAAGTCCATTTTTACAACTAAAAGGGGCCCGAACCCATTCAAAGGCCCTTGAGGCTCATCGACCCATTGTTAAAAAAGAAATTCAGGGATTCTAGAACGTAAAAATTAATTTAGCAAAATCAAAGTCCTTGGTCTTGTTGCCCATGGTCTTGTGCAGCTTTTTATGTAAATAAAAATGCTGAAATAGAACGAGGTGTTCCCAGATTAGTAATAAATTATAAATCATTAAATACAGCTTTAAAATGGATAAGATATCCAATCCCCAATAAAAAGATCTTTTAAAGAAATTATATAATGCAAATATTTTTAGTAAATTTGATATGAAATCTGGTTACTGGCAGATTCAAGTTGATCCTAAAGATAGATATAAAACAGCATTTACAGTTCCATTTGGTCAATATAAAACGGCATTCACAGTTCCTTTTGGTCAATATGAATGGAATGTAATGCCTTTTGGATTAAAGAATGCTCCTTCTGAATTCCAGAGGATCATGAATGATATATTTAATCCCCATAGTGAATTTTGTATAGTATACATTGATGATATTCTAGTTTTTAGTAGAACATTAGAAGAACATTTTAAACACTTAAAAACATTTTGCATGGTAATTGAAATGAATGGATTAGCACTAAGAAAACTAAAATGGACTTGTTTAAAACCAAAGTTATATTTTTGGGTCACTATATAGAACAGGGTATTATCCAGCCCATAGAACGTGCTATGGTCTTTGGGTCCAAGTTCCCTGATGAATTAACTAATAAAACCCAACCCAACTCCAACGTTTCCTTGGATGCTTAAATTATGTAATAGATTTTTATCCAAACCTAAATTGTATGATTAAGCCCTTACATGATAGGCTTAAGAAAAATATTGGCCCATGGACAGCCCAACATACACAGTTAGTCAAAAAGATAAAGGCTTTGGTAAAGAAATCCCATATCTTTATATCCCTAATTCAACAGCATTTAAAATAGTTGAAACTGATGCTTCAGATGTTGGATACGGTGGTATCTTAAAACAAGTCATTAATGGTAAAGAACGTATAATTCAGTATACATCTGGTCATTGGAACAAAACTCAATTAAATTTTCTCGTGTCAAAGAAAAAAATTACATGCATTTGCATTATGATTGGAGTGTAATAAATTATGATATTATCTTACAAT